TGGTGAGATGAACACTCTCATAAGGGGGGGGGGGGGGGGTTGGCCAAATAACATCGAACAAAGCCCAAAGCCTCCTTTCTAAACTCTTTTCAGCCAATAGGAATCAAGGGAGGAGTTAATTAAAATATACCAAACTTGCCAAATACTAAGCCATCCTACATTTTAAAAAAAATTGGGTGGTTTATTTCAGTGGGACTCTGTGTGAGTCACCACAGAATCACTTCTCAGCTGAGGATCATTATTGTCTATAATTACTCCACTTGAAAGTTATATTGTGGCAGGGCTCTTTTTGTAGAAAAAGCCCAGCAGGAACTCATTAGCATATTGGGCCACACCCCTGACAGCACAGCTCATTAGCACATTAGGCCACAACCCTGACAGCACAGCTCATTAGCACATTAGGCCACACCCCCATGTTACCAGAAGTGTGGTCATCCAGACACACCCATCTTTTGCTTGTTATTCTGTTTACCTTGTTTGTTGTCAAAACCCAGGGCTTTTTGTAGCAGGAACTCCTTTGCATGTTAGGCCACACACCCCTAATGTAGCCAATCGTAATGAGTTTCTGCTGTTGGGTGTGGCCTATTATGCTAATGAGTTCCTGCTGGGCGTGGCCAACTTGGGAGCCAGCCGGAACTCCGTTCCTGTGCGTTCCTGCCCCAAAATAGCTCTGATTATGGACATCCATTTTCCTTCAACTTCTGCATCTTTCTTCTGGCCACAGACGTACTGGGTCCCTGTCAGGACCGGGCAGGCTCCTGGATTTGTTTCTGAGAAGTAAATGCAAGCACACAACACATAACAAATATATTTGAAAAAAAACCCTTTAATTTATGATAAAAGAAATCTTTCAAGTTCAGCAGAATGTATGCTGGGCATAATCCATTTCAATAGTACAGGCAATATCAAGTAACAAAAACAACATTAGTCATCTGAGTAAGCGCTGGCTTGCTAACAAAAAAACATGCTTCCTTAATTGTCAGCAGTTCCTGGGTTACGTCACAGTCCAGTGCATTTGACCATCTCTCCTGTAATGTAGCTGCCACCCATTTATCATACCCCTTTCCTCCAGCAGTGAACCTGTCCACCCATCAAGGTTTTCCCAGCTATTTAAGAACAGTAATTTTAAAAGGATTGGGGAGGCTCCCAAAGATGATTTTATTGAAGGGTGAAGCCTGTGGCTGGACGTGATTAGAAACAAGCACCTTGTTTTCAATAGTCTGCCGGCCAAGGGCCTGCCACAATTTACGAGCTAGGAAAAACCGGGAACGCAGCCAAATCAGAGGAAGGGAGTATAAACGCTATGTAGCCCTAAACTGCTCTAAAATAGAAACTTTATTAACAATACTACCAACTATCTTAAAAACCCAGCAAGAATGATAACAATGAATTTTACAATGAACCCTTTAGGGGTGAGTGATTTGCACAAGTGTATTATTTAGACCCTGATGCTGGGAAAGATTGAAGGTCAAAGAAGATGGGGACGGCAAAGGATGAGATGGTTAGACAGTGTCATAGATGCAACGAACATGAAGTTGAGCAAACTTCAGAGGACGGCGGAAGACCGGAAGGCCTGGCATGATCTGCTCCATGGGGTCGCGAAGAGTCGGACTCGACTGTGCGACTGAACAACAACAACAATTATTTATAAATTGTTTTACTATGGGTGACTACATGATGTTTTTATTGTTGTTATTAGGTCCATGATATTTTGTGAAATTGTACTTTATGTGAAATGGTATATTGACTGATAACAACGGACATGTGAGTTTTGCTATTGTATAATTTATTGTTTATATTATACTAGCGTGCATACATTGTAGTTTTATTAATGTTTCTGTTCATCAGGATTGATAAAGATCTTGAAACAAGGTCACGTCCGGAATCCTTGTCTGACAATATGATGACAGGTATATGGAATGGATTCCACGGCTGCATATGGAGCCCAGAGCCACCCTTGTTACTTGTGAGATGTTTACATCGTCTCTACAACTGTTTATACTACATGGCTCTTTTTGTGGGCAGCTCCAAGTGATGAGCTGGGTTTCAGCCGCCACGACTCTTTGTTGTATGTTTATGTTGATTGTAAAATTTATTGTTATCATTCTTGCTTGGTTTTTAAGATATTTGGTAGTATTGTTAATAAAGTTTCTGTCTTAGAGCAGTTTAGGGCTACATCGAGTTTATACTCCCAACAATTTATGAGCTAAGCCCACCCAACAAGCCAAAACAACATTGAGGGTTGGATGGCAGCTCTTCCTTACACACACACACTCCATTCCATTGACATGGGGAAATAGACCATGGCGATGGAGTCATCTAAAAAAAGGGACACAGGATCCAAAAATAAGCAGCTAACTAACAATACATACAGCGAGGCTGCAATGTTAAATCTTCACGAAATCTATATGAAAAATCAGCTCAGATGTTATCTCCCTTCCCTTCAGCATGGATGACATCAAAGGAGAAGTCAGGGGTGGGGTCAAAACTCACTTCCAAGACTTTACAATTTCTCTACTTTCATCCGGTGTCTAGATCATATTGTGTCAAAAGAGTTCTACCTGGGCAATCACAGAGTAACATTTATAGCCCATTGAGAGACTTGGCAATTGAATATGTTGTTGGGCAGGCAGATTTTCAAACAACTCACTGTGCCCTTCAACAGGAAAGAAAGATTTTACTTAAATGGGCTGCTTCAGCAAAGCCAGCAGATGAATTTATATCTCCAGGTCCACATAACAAGTTATCAGCACCCTGAATCCTCCCTCATTCAGATATCTTAATAGTTACCCTCTTGCACCCTTTGTTTACAATCCGATGGTAGCCTTTCCCTTGTTCCCTGGGCTGCCTCAATCGCATGGGAGAAATACCAAGCACCTTTAAGACAACAAAGTTTTGTTCAAGGTGTCAGCTTTTGTGTGCCTTGCTACAGTGAGTGGGTGGGTATTTTGTTGGGCTCTTTATGCCAGGGCTCTCCTGGGTGCAACTGGGTTCCCTCCCTCTTTTCACTGTATTCATACCCTCATGATCCAGTCTTTCTCAGTAAGAAAGCAATATGAACTATTTTAGAGGAGGAATAACAACAAGCCAGTGAGGTGGATTAGACGGAGTGTGTGTGTCCAGACCAAGTTCACCCCCTTTGTAGGGAGTTATAGTCAGAGATCATTTCGGGGGGAATCGCGGGGGATCGCAGTTCCCCCGGGTGAGGTACGGGGGGCGGGGCACATGACAAAGCCCCACCCCCTGCTTCCGGCCACCCCGCTTCTGGCCCTCATTCAGCCAGGAGGAGGCAGGAGAAGAGGGAGGGTAAGTTGCTTCCTCCCTGCCTCTCCCCACCCCTGCCTGCCTGGGGCCAGGGAGGGCCTTCATGGGGCTTCCTTGCACTCCCGCTGGCCTTGCATGTCCACCGCTGGGCCCCTCATGGGGCTCGGCAGTGGAGCTGCAAGGCCGGTGGCGGCCGGGACCGTTGGGGGCGGGGTGTGTGGCCTTATGACACACTTCTGGTGATGTCAGGGGGTGTGGCCTTATGACACACTTCCGGTGATGTCAGGGGGTGTGGCATATGCTAATGAGTTATGCTAATGAGTTCCCCTAGCTCTTTTCCTACGAAACGACCCCTGGTTATAGTTATCTCTCTGGGGAAGAGTATAGTTTTGTACAGAAACACATGGCCCTCAGTCTGCGTTAGGATGCCTTCTCACGTTCTTGACCGGCACACGAAACAACGTATGTACAAAAGGTTGCAATGCCCAGCCATTTCGTGTTTTCCCCCAGGGTCCATGGCTAGGAACACTGAGCATGCGATTTCTGTAATGTCAGTAAATCAAAAGTACGTTTGCAGCTCACAGATACACACCTGAACAGCATACTCAAGATTGCTACAGCACAGGCATTTTGATGCAATAATTCAGAGCAAGAGGTGTCAGTTATCAGAGACTGTTAAATAGGCAAAATATGGCAAGATTGCTAGTGTTTTAAGCATGTTTAATTAAAGTTTAAAAAATCTTTAACTGTGTTTGTCTGTGTCCTTTATGAACTTTATATCTCCACTACCTGGCATTACATTTTATGATACACATGGCCCGGGCCAACAAGGTCTCATTTATGTCAGGTGCGGTCCTCATAACAAATGAGTTCGACACCCCTGTTCTGTATTCCTGATCTTGATACTCCCATGTGCCCTAACAGCTTTTCAGCACCCGTTTGTTTGTTCGTAATTTGCACACTGACGGGGATGCTCTCTGGGCAAGCTGGCTAGTTTCCTTTGCAGCTGCATCAGTGGCGGAATTCCTAGGGACATGAAGATCCTGAGTTTAATATACTTTTACGGGATAAACATAAAGTTGCTTCCTCTTGTAGAGGTGAGCGCATCATTACCAGATCTGCTTGGCTTTCATTGGCTTGCCCCTGGAATCACAGAGGCCATAATGCTTACAAAATATAAGATGGGGGGTGGGGGAAGAGCTTTATATAGTGTCCATAAAGGACGGATTGCGATAAGGGGGCTTGAAGGGGCAGTTTTTGTCACTTCCAGAAATGCCAGCAATTCAGCTTGCCAGGCTGTAACATCTCCTGCTGGGAAAATTTGTTTTCCAGTAAAACAAATTCCTCTGGGTGAGTAAAGACACCCTTAAGATATACATATCCAGCAGAATATGTGTGCTTTGTTGCTAAGGCTTGGATGCCGCTGCCATCTGTATAAAGGCCCATCACTACCCAAAGGAGTCTCTGAGTGGCTTACAAACTCCTTTCCCTTCCCCTTCCCACAACAGACACCCTCTGAGGGAGGTGGGGCTGAGAGAGCGCTGACAGAAACTGCTCTTTCTCAAGGACAGCTCTTGTCAGAACTACGGCATGCCCAAGGTCATCCAGCAGCTGCGAGTTGAGGAGTGGGGAATCAAACCCGGTTCTCCCAGATTAGAGTCCGTCCACTTAACCACTACACCAAACTGGCTGAATGTGTGAATGTGTGTGTGGGAAAATGCTTAACTGCTTCGCAACTGTTTTCTTAAGAGGCCTCCCAATGCAGGAAGTACGTGAAACAACCTTGGATGCCTGTCTCTGCCAGCCGGCCTGTCGTAGATAATATACTATATAGTGCAGGTGGGGGAAGGAGGGCTGACGGTGTGCGCTAGATTTAGGCAGGCTGAGTGGAGTGATTGGATGGGTTGCGGGGGGGGGGGGAGGCCTTGTTTGAATCATGTATAATTCCTGAACTGGCGCCAACCTGGTCAGTTCTGACACAAGAAGGTCTTAGCTTGAGTCATCCTGACCTCTCAATAAACAAATCACTGCCAAGTGAGTGTTGTTGAGAGTGCATTTGTTCAAGAGTCTGACACCCAGTGCCCCAGATGCCTTCGTTCCACCACTTTGCTGCAGGCTCTCAGCACGAATACTTGGTATTTTCAGCACAGGTGTTGCTTCAGGCAGAGGCAAGGCTTGCTATTCCCATCTCTATGGGGAACTCAAAATCATTCAGCAATCATGCTTTTTGGAGGCCAGCCTGAGCAGCCCTCGATCCCATGGTAGCCTTCGGAATCCTCAGTAATCGTTTGGAGGTTCTATTTTTCAGTTATCAATGATAAACTTGAACCTTTTTCTGTCTTTTTAAAAAATTATCTTTATTTAGGAAAACAGTAGGGATACAGAAAAGAAAAAGGGGTAAAAAAGAAGAGCTATACAACATAATTGTATTTGTCAAGAACAACTGACAATCATAAAATGCAAATTGTATGGGACAGAGGATGTTTCCCCTTACATCCCCTTCATTGTAATTTTTGGGGTATTACCTATAATATACAATAGTTCTTCTGTTAAAATACGATTATACTCAATCTTTTAAAATTGAGTTTCAGACTGCATCGTTGATCTACTTTGACCGCATCATTCGTTTCATCATGACCACATATTCAGTATTACATATTTTCACCATATATTCAGTAGAACCTTTTAACAGATTTTTTAAAAATCAATCTGCGAAGGTCTATTACATTTCTCATACGAAGAACCTTACATTCCAGATGTTACATTTAAAACAGATTTTAATTCTACTTCCGTTTCACTACATGTTTATATTAGACCACTTCTCATCTAAGTTTGTCTCCTACTAGCATAGTACATATAATACACACTCCGTCTCTCCTCAGATTTCATATTAGACCTGCTCTTCAGATAGGTTGTTCATTTTGGTATTAATGCATATTCAGCAAGTCTATTTTCCCAATTCTTCTAAATGTGGACAGACAGCTAATTTCCATTTTGCTGGGGAAATATTTCTAGGCACTGTCACCATATATTTGAATCTGTCTTCTGGAATTTTTGGTAATTTGTTAGGCAGAACACCTAATAGCATTCTCACTACAGAATAAGAATTTTTTTAAGGTAGCTTAAAATTATTAAGTCACAAATATCAGTATATCACCCATAATCTTTTTTTCTATTAGAATTTAATAAAACGGGGAGAATATAATAAGTGAGAGGAAGGGGGTGGGAGAGGAAAAAAACCAATCAAAGGTAAACTAGGGTTTTTATTTGTGTTTCCATGTAAGCTGATTCATCCGAGGACTTCGGAAAATAAAATAAAATAGTTTATTCCAGTTGCTTTTTATTCTGAAGTATTCCAAGGAAGGTGTCCAAGTAGAAAAAATATATAACTGGGAACAGTACATCTTATTTTTCCATTAAGCAGAACGTTTAGTGAAATTATCAGTCTGTGAGTTCCCCCCCCCCCCCATTCCCCCCCCAGCCACTGTGCTACATCACAGCTGGAATGCAAAACCCTTCAGATAAGCATCTTTCATCAAAAATATGAGAACATATGTGTCTTTTTTTAATATATAGCCAATTATATATTGCACAAAAAAAATAAGAGATCTTTAGTATTTCCACTCTCATTACTGAAACTAAGATTTCCTCGGAAAGCAGCCAAGTGAAATTCAACTAAATGCATTCCTTGAACTGGCCACAGAAATCTCTGTCATTAGGATTCAAAGTTTATCAAGAGCCTTGCTCAACCGAGGTCATGAATTTATGAAACAATTCTTTTTACCGCTGCTTTTGAATGCTGACTTCAAACAGCAGCCTGCCAATCTCTAACTACGATCACAGTTCCGGGGATCCAAAAGCTTTCAAGGATTGCTGATTTCAAATTGAGAACAGGAATAGGAGAAACACCATCAAGGGAAGAATTTGTGCAGAAGTTATTTGAAATAGCCGAAATGGATAAATTAACAATATCGTTACAAGGGAAAGGTGAAGAATTATTTGAGAAATTGTGGTTGAGGTTCTATAACTGGATGGGTTAAGTGTTTAAAGATGTTAATTAATTTGGTATGATCTATGGTGTAAAGTTAGATGATGTATGGAAGGAAGGTTCACTGCTATCTAAGAAACGCCTTAGCGCTTTGTGTTTGTCTATTTGGAAAATTATTTTTAAAAATAATAATAATTTTTTAAAAAGGAATAGGAGAAAACAGAAGCTGGAGTCGGCTGACCTTATTAGCAGGGAGCCCTCCTGGTCTTTGCTGTCCTCGATGTTTTTAGAACCCCCATGAAAACCTGGTGAGTCAGCCCCCCCCCTGTCCCGCATAAGTTCACCTGTCAGTTATGTCTCCTCCGTGGGGGAGAGGGAAGGATAGAGAATTTTTTTTTTGCTCCAAGTCAAGATAGGACTGAAGCATTTAAAAGTGTTCCTTTTCAGGTTGCCATATGACCTGGAAGTCCCCAAACCCTTTTTCCAAAGGGGTTCAGACTGTCTCTGGAGTCGTTCTTATTGGACACCTTTTGTACTGACAGTGAGTAGGCTATACCAGTTAGAGCATTCGACTAGGGTCTGGGAGACCCAAGTTCAAATGCCATTTTGCCGGAAAACTTGCTTGTGACCTCCGGCCCGTTGCATTCTCTCAACTTTATAGAGTAACCACTTTAAATGCCTGTTGTGGAGGAACCAGTTGAACCAATGCTCTTTCTAAGCTGTGGAGTCTTGTGAGCAAAAATTCTACTTGGTGAGCTGCTGGCATTAAAGTTGTGAGCGAGCGATTCGGCTACTGCATAAATTAATCCTTCCTGAGCTAAAACAAAAATCTGTGATCCGGAGGCTAAAAAACTGCGAGCTAGCTCACACTAACTCAGCTTAGAGGGAACACTGTATCCATTGTTTTAAAATGCATCATGTTTCCATTTAAAACAGGTGCCCCTCGGGATAAAGTCTTTGGACATGCTATGACCATTTCACCCACCCTCAGGATTCCCTTTGCTGAACAGCCCCTTTTCATTCTTCTCCCCACCTACCAATGAAAGGATGCCACAAATCGCAGGTAGGTGGGGGAGCCGTGTGATGCTGTGTTGAAGGATAATCTTTCTGAAGCTGACATTGGCAAGTTTTACCACTTTTGGGGTCCAAATCACCCACAACTTAAGGTACTTGCTTCTAAAATGCTGTCTCTGTTTGGGACAACATATGTCTGTGAACGGCTCTTTTCTGTAATAAATGACCATAAATCAAAAGTATGTTCTCATCTTACAGATACACCTAAACAGCATACTCAAGATTGCAACAGTACTCCAGATGCAATAATCCAGAGCAAGAGGTGTCACTTATCAAAGACGGTTAAATAAAGGAAATAACTGTTAATATTTTAAGAATGTTTGGATTTTGAGCAAAAAATATCGGTAATTGGGTTTGCCTGCATCCTTAATGAAGTTTATATCTCTGGTATCTGGCATTACACTTTAAGGCACACATAGCCCAGCCCAACAAAGTGACATTTATGGCAGATCTGGCCATTGTGACAAATGAGTTTGACACCTCTGGACTAAGCAATCACATATCTTCTCCTTGTGTGGGTTCATAGATGTTCTTGAAGATTGCCATTGTGACTGAATCCATTCCCACACTTTGAGCATTCAAAAGGCTTCCACCTGTGTGGGTTCTTAGATGCCTTTGAAGATCGCCACGCTGACTGAATCCCTTCCCACACTCCAGGCATTCAAAAGGTTTCTCCCCTGTGTGGGTTCTTCGGTGCTGCTGAAGGTTACCACTCTGACTAAATCTCTTCCCACACTCTGAGCATTCAAAAGGCTTCTTTCCGTTGTGGGTTCTTAGATGCTTTTGAAGATCACCACTCTGAATAAATCCCTTCCCGCACTCTGAGCATTCAAAAGGCTTCTTTCCGTTGTGGGTTCTTAGATGCTTTTGAAGATCACCACTCTGAATAAATCCCTTCCCGCACTCTGAGCATTCAAAAGGCTTCTCCCCTGTATGGGTTCTTAGATGCACCTGAAGAGTGCCAATGTGACTGAATCCCTTCCCACACTCTGAGCATTCAAAAGGCCTCTCCCCAGTGTGGGTTCTCAGATGTTGTTGAAGATTGTCACTCTGACTGAATCTCTTCCCACACTCTGAGCATTCAAAAGGTTTCTCCCCTGTGTGGGTTCTTCGGTGCTTCTGAAGATTACCACTTTGAGTAAATCTCTTCCCACACTCTGAGCATTCAAAAGGCTTTTCCCCTGTGTGGATTCTTAAATGCAGACGAAGACGGCCACTGTGACTGAATTCCTTCCCACACTCTGAGCATTCAAAAGGCTTCTCCCCAGTATGGGTTCTTCGATGCTGCTGCAGATGGCCACTCGCACTGAATCTCTCCCCACATTCTGAGCATTCAAAAGGCTTCTCCCCAGTGTGGGTTCTTAGATGCCTTTGAAGTGCACCATGCTGACTGAATCCCTTCCCACACTCTGAGCATTCAAAAGGCTTCTCCCCTGTGTGGGTTCTTAGATGTTGTTGAAGATGGCTACTCCGACTGAACCTCTTCCCACACTCTGAGCATTCAAAAGCCTTCTCCCCTGCGTGGGTGCTTTGGTGCTGCTGAAGATGGCCACTCTGACTGACTCCCTTCCCACACTCTGAGTATTCAAAAGGCTTTTCCTCTGTGTGGGTTCTTTGGTGCAACTCAAAATTACCAGTGTGACTAAATCTGTTCTCAAACTCTAAGCATTCAAAAGACTTCTCCCCTGCTTGGGTCCTTATATCATTTTGAAGAGCATCACTGTGATTCAATCTCTTCCCACACTCTGAGTATTCAAAGGGCTTCTCACCTGTGTGGGTTCTTTGGTGCAACTCAAAATTACCAGTGTGACTAAATCTGTTCCCAAACTCTAAGCATTCAAAAGACTTCTCCCCTGCTTGGGTCCTTATAAGAGCGTCACTGTGACTCAATCTCTGCCCAAAATCAGAGAATTCAAAAGGCTTCTCCCCTGTATGGGTTCTTAGATGCTTTTGAAGGCAGCCACTCTGGCTGAATCTCTTCCCACACTCTGAGCATTCCAAAGGCTTCTCTCCTCTGTGGATTCTTTGGTGCACAAGGAGCTGTGATCTGTATCTGAAGTACTTTCTGCACCAAAAGCATTTATGTGCCTTCATTATACTGTGCTTTGGAAAATGTATATTTCCTTTTCCTCCTTTACAGAACGCCATTCCAGACTCTGAGGAAATAAACAGCTTCTCTTCAGACCAAATCTTTTTGTGTCCAACAACGTCTGATTTCTCGGGGAACCTCTTGCCACGGTCTGAGCAGCTGTAAGATTTCTCTTCTTTGTGTGTCCTTCGACGTCTTAGGAGCTCTGCTCTGCGAATCATGGCCTTTCCACCCTCCAGGCCTTGACGGGTCTTCTTTCCAGTGTGCATCCGTAAATGGAGTTTATGTTGGGTTTGATCTGAGAAGTTCATTCCACACACCAAGCACGTGTGTGTTTCCTCCACCATGTGACTTACTTCATGGAATTTTCCCCCTTGGCAAGGAATGGGTTTAACCCTCCTCTTGACCACGTGGCTTCTTTTCTGCCTCTTAGGTCTGCCTCGATTCATGACATTTCCTCTCAGGTCTTCAATCTTGACTGTATCTGGCAATGGATGACACAGCTCCTCAACCTCCTCATCCCTCTGATCATCCCCAGCTGGAATAAAGAAAGAGATCCTGTTAGAACCGACGCAAGGCGGTCTCATTTGCACCCGAATTTCCATGCACAATCCAAATATTCCAGCGGCTTCCTCCTGCTGTACACTGAAGCATACAATAATATACACTGTAAAAGTACATTCAGCCTCCTGCATGAGAGACGCTTTTGTTTGGACTCTGACCAATTCCAAAGCTCCCTACCTGTGTGATTTTTTTTTAATGTGAAATAAGGGCCTTTTCCAACTGAAATCCTTTCCGCACTGCAGTTTGGTGTAGTGATTAAGTGGCTCTAATCTGGGAGAACCGGGCTTGATTCCCCACTCCTCCACTTGCACCTGCCGATGTGACCTTGGGTCAGTCACAAGCTCTGGCACAGCTGTTCCTGAAAGGGCAGTTTGTGTCAGAGTTCTCTCAGCCCCACCCACCTCACAGGGTGTCTGTTGTGGGGAGGGGAAGGGAAGTGTGTCATAAGGCCACACCCCCTGACATCACCTGCCAGCTGGGAGTGCTTCTGCAGCTCTTGCAGGGCTACCCTTGTGGGCTATAGGTCCCAATCTCCAGGTGATGGCTGGAGGCCCCAAGGTGAGAGAGACCCATTCCCCTGGAGCAAATGGCTGCCCTGGAGAATGGACTCTAGGGCATTATACTCCACATTTTACCTCCCCTCCAATGTGCCCTCTAAGCTGTGCAGTCCTGTGAGCAAAAATTCTACTTTGTGAGCTACTGACAGCGAGCGATTTGGCCACTGCATAAATTGGTTTGCTCTGGAGCCAGCCTTCCCAAGCAAAGGCAAAAGTGCCTGAGCCGGAGACTAAAGAACTGTCAGCTAGCTCACACTAACTGAGGCCGCGAAAAGGAGTGGGGGGGGGGAGGTCCGTCAGAGATGGCAAAAGAGTGGGGCCGGCTGGAAAACAGCCCTCCACAACGGGAACAGAAAGAGGGCTCTGAATGGGGAGGGGAAAGACAGCAAGAGAATCTACGCCGACGAGAAGGGAGGGCAGGGCAGGAGGGCATAAACGGATTCTGACGGGGGCAGATTCTAGAATGCAGACGGGGAGGGCAGGAAAAGCCAGGCAAGGGAAAGGCAGGTCGGCAGCCAAAAAAATGAACATGGGGGGGAGGGGCGCCTCGAACTGCACACGAGGGACGGTGGAGACCGAAGGGGGCAGTTGAACTAACGAGATTTTGGAAGGGGGTTTAATAAGAAACTAGTTTTAAGGGGGGTGGAGGGAGACACAAACTGTAAGCTTCCAGGCGTACAGAGGAGTGGGGCCGGGTGTGAGCGAGGCGAAGGGGATGAAGAAGGCACCTCAGCCAGCCGCTTTCCCTTCCCTTCCACCAGGCGGGATTTTTTTCCCTTTGGTTTTTCTTTTTTTGCTCTTAAGGGTTTTTCTTAATTTTAAATAATTTAAAAGGCTTTACCCCCTTCCTTTCCTCCTCCGAGGCGAGCAGAGGATGTGGTGCTGGTCGCGGAAGCCCCTT